TGTATTATGAGTAAAATCCAAAAACGTCGACAAGTAGTAACACCAAGGATTAGGTGGTGGCAATTAAAAGGTGAGAAGCAAGATATTTTCAAGCGAAATCTTTTGGATAAAGGAATTTGGGATTCTCAGGGAACTGCTAACATCATATGGGAGGATATGGCTAAAAAGATACGGGAGGTTGCAAAAGCAGTTTTGGGAGAATCGAAAGGTTCTGGTCCGAGAGATAAGGAGTCTTGGTGTTGGGATAATAGTGTACAGGACAAAATCAAGTATAAGAAGAACTGTTTTAAAGCCATACATTTGTGTAACAATGAAGAAAATTGGGAGAGGTACCGTATGGCTAAGAAGGAAACTAAGAGAGCTGTGGGTGAAGCTCGTTCCAAAGCTTTTGAAAAATTTTATAAGAACCTTGAGACGAAGGAAGGAGAGCAAAATATTTATAAGATTGCCAAGAGTAGGGAAAGAAAATCAAGAGATCTAAAACAGGTAAGGTGTATTAAGGATGAAGAGGGAAGAATTTTAGTTACAGATGATGAAATTAAAAATAGATGGGAGACTTATTTTTCTAAACTTTTCAATGATGGAGAGGATTTATCTAGTAACTTGGAGGATTTAGTAACTGGTGAAGGAGAACAAAATTTGTCATTCTATCGAAAAATACGTGATAAGGAGGTAAAGGAAGCTCTTAAGAAAATGGCAAATGGTAGAGCTAACGGACCTGATTGTATATCTATCGAAGTGTGGAAATGTTTAGGTGAAGAAGGGGTGAGATGGTTAACTAAGTTATTTAATGTGATTTTACGGTCCAAGAAAATGCCTGATGAGTGGAGGAGAAGTACATTAATTCCTATTTATAAAAATAAAGGAGATATTCAGAATTGTACTAACTATAGAGGGATTAAACTCATGAGCCACACAATGAAATTGTGGGAGAAAGTAATTGAGCACAGGTTGAGATTGGAGACAAGTATTTCTGAGAATCAATTTGGTTTTATGCCAGGTAGATCAACTACAGAGGCGATTTATCTACTAAGGGGATTAATGGAAAAGTATCGTTGTAAAGATAAAGATCTACACATGGTTTTTATTGATTTGAAAAAAGCTTATGACCGTAAACCAAGAGAAGTGCTTTGGAAAGCGTTGGAAAAAAAGGGAGTACGGATTGCTTATATTAAAGCCATACAAGATATGTATGAGGGGGTAAAAACTAGTATAAGAACGCCTAGTGGTCAAACAAAGGATTTTCCTACAAAGATTGGACTACATCAGGGATCATCTCTGAGTCCTTATTTGTTCAACTTGATTTTAAATGTTTTGACGGAACATATTCAAGAGGAAATCCCGAAATGTATGCTCTTCGCGGATGATATAGTTCTTATAGCAGAGACAAGAGAAGAGGTTAATTGCAAACTTGAGTTATGGAGGAGGACATTGGAGTCGAAAGGTTTTCGTCTGAGTAGAAGTAAGACGGAATATTTATATTGTAAATTTGGTAAAGGACTATTCGAAAATAATTTGGAAGTGCAATTGGGAGATCAAATTATACCTCAAGTGGAAAAGTTTATATATTTGGGAGCCATTATTCAAAATGATGGCGAAATCAGTGGAGATATTTCACATAGAATTCAAGCTGGGTGGTTTAATTGGAAAAAAGCTAAAGGAGTTATTTGTGACCGTAAGGTGCCTAATAAACTTAAAGGAAAGTTTTATCATACTGCTATCAGACCGGCAATGTTATATAGTAGTGAATGCTGGGCTCTAACGGGACAGCAAGAGCATAAAGTTGGAGTAGCAGAGATGAGAATGTTACGATGGATGTGCGGACATACACGTAAAGATAAAATTCGAAATGAGCACATACGTGAAAAAGTGAGGGTGGCACCTATTGAGGAAAAAATGGTAGAAAATCGGTTGAGATAGTTTGAGCATGTACAAAGAAGACCAAGGGAGGCACCAGTGAGAAGAGTGGAACATATAACTTTGAGTTCGATTAAGAGAGGTAGAGGAAGGCCTAAGAGAACACTCTTGGAAGTTGTTGAATGTGATCTCTTAATTAATAATATTTCTAAAAGCTTAATAAATGATAAAGCACAATGGCGTCTTGCAATCCATGTAGCCGACCCCACCTAGTGGGATAAAGGCTTGTTGTTGTTGTTGTTGTTGTTGTAAATTTGAAGTCATTTATGCTAATTTGATATGAAAAAAGTGCAATTAAGTATATTTAGCCAAAAAATAAGTACATTAAGTATATAAACCTAAGTACCTAAGTTTTATCCTAAACTAATTACAGCCTCCCCTGCCTCAGTACTCTGCGCCGATTTTCCAGAATGATTGATGAGATTGCTTTACATAGACTGCCTACTTCTACCATGAAAAGTGTGAAAAGTGTTTTCATGGTAGACACCCAAATTTGGTGACTGAAAGGCAGAAAGAAAATTCACAAAGCTATGACCAGTGGACCAAAAGATTTTAACATGTACATTCTATAAGGGTTCTGCATGGGTATTAACCACTTAGATAGAAACAGGAAGATTAGTTAGCTGTAATTCAGGTAGTTAAAAAATAACTACCTAATGTGGTTCACACTACTCCTATGGTTTATAAACAGAAGTAGAATCATATTCAATGAAGTTGATAAATTGAATTATCATTGTTAGTCTGTCTTTTCTATCTTTCCTGGTGCAACACGCACCATTCAAGTGTCAAGGTGTCCTTCCAGAATACAGTCACAGGGTATGAAATGGTGCTGAAAACAAGCATATGATCAAATGATAAGATTTGACCAACATCTCAAGCAAAAAAATATCAATATGACGGGACTGAGTCTGAGATAATCAATAGCTCATATCAACAATGGCCATGGATGTGGCAGAATGTCCAGCAAAAAGGAAGTCATATAGCTAATAGACTAATAATCAAGCATGTCAATGGACATGCAGAGAGGAAGATACGTCCATATCATCTGAGTTTCTTTACATGAAAGAAGCTAATGAGACTGGAAGAAATATCTGAAAAGTATGACTGCTAAACTTCAAAATGAAGCAAAAATTGATGCTATGGCTGAGATTAAGAACCACAGGCAAGAAAACTCAATGAACGATCATGAAGAGAAATTTGAAGAGTTTTACTTTTAGAGATGGATTGACCAAAACCTCTAGCAATAAGGCGCTTCTTAAAGATCATTCACACAAATATATAAAAAAACTATAAGATTGTTCTGTCCAAATGCCCTTGCTTGCACCACCATTGAACCACCCAGCAGAACCAACTAGAGGGGGAGTATTGTCTGGATTAAGCAACTGCTCTGTTGCTTTGATACCATGAGTACGATCAAAGAGTATTTCCCAATAGTATTCTTCAGGGCAGAGGCACAGTACGTGTATATTACTTAGCCAGCGTATATGATAAGCAATTAGGGTAAATTAAGTATTTTTTAAAAGAATCAAGTATTAACTCTAATTAAAATGAAAGAGTAAAAACTGAACATAAAATAAGATAATAGCATATAACAACAAGTGAAACATTATGCAGTGAGCTTGGGCTTTTGGTCTAACAACACTCCCCTTCAAGTTGGAGAATAGATGTCAATCATTCCCACCTCGTTTCTCAATCCTTCAAATGAATTTCTTGGCAGTAGTTTTGTAAAAAAATCTAAAACTTGATATTTGGCTCTGATGTAGGATAAATCAATTATCCCTTCAATTTTTTCTCTAATGAAGTGTCAAACATCTAAGGGACTCAGTGTATCACAAAGAGTATATATTGGACCTACTCAATGAGACTGGGATGCTAGGGGCTAGATCTGCAAATACCCTGATGGAACTTAACTACAAGTTGGAGGAAAACCCAGACGGAAATTCAGTCAACAAGGAAAGGTAACAAAAGTTGGTGGGAAAGTTGATTTATTTATCCCACACTAAATTTGATATATCTTATGCAATGGGAGCTGTACGCCAATTTGGAAGCAACCCTCAAACGGAGCACATGGAAGCTATATATCAAATCCTTAGATGTCTCAAGACAAAACCAGGCAAGGGCTTTTTTTTTTTTTCAAAGGGAAATCAGAAGAAGGTAGAAATATGCACAGATGCAAACAGTAAGATACCAAGAAAAGGGAATCAAAAGTGTGTAGAGATATATACAGATGCTGATTAGGCAGGGGCAATTGATAATAGACGCTCTACCACAAGATACTGTACTTTTGTCTGGGGTACTCTTGTAACATGGAGGAAGCAGCCAGTATTATCCAGGAGCTCAGTAGAACTGAACACAGAGCATTAGCAATTGGAATTTACAAAGGAATGTGGATTGTGCGCTTATTGAAAGAACTTGGGGTTAGAATTGGGTGCTCCAGTCAAGATGTAGAGTGATAGCACGGCTGCACTCAAGATTACCAACAACCTTGTTCAACATGATCACACCAAGCATGTTGAAATTGATAGACATTTTGTCAAAGAGAAGATTGAAGTCAAGGTTATATTTTCCCACATTCCATGCGGCAAGAAAGCTGCTGCTTTGATGATTAAACCTCTTGTCAAAGCTAAGTTTGATGGATTCATAAGCAAGCTGGAAATAATCAACATCTATTCATGAGCTTGAGGGGGAGTGTCAAAAGTGGAATTATGTCTATTAGGCCAAATTACTTAATGACCCCTAGTTTATTTATTTATTTAGCACCTTCACATTTATCATCTTTATATTCTGCAATTATTTAAAAGTTTACAGAATATCCACTTTTATTTACTTTATTTGTCAATTATTGAGAGGATTTTGTGGGATTATATCCACCCCTCTGCTCCTATATGCATCAACTGCTACATAAAAATAAAACACATGAAGTTGCACAGAAAACTCTCAATGTCAGATAAGCTTCATGAATATCAAGTATGAACTATAAGGAGGAAATACAGAAATGACTTGCAGTAATAAAAAATGTTAGATTATATGCAAAAAATTACTGTTGCAAAGTCTCAGTAGACAGAGAAGCTTTATGCCCTTACCATGGACGAATATCGCTTCCATTGACTCTCAATATGTTCTCTCGCAATGCTAAACCAGTGTAAAGAAAGAGCAGCCAAGCCTAAGAAAAGATATCCATAGGAATAATGTATAAACAAGTGCAGAAATCAAAACAATATATAATCAACTGAAGGGATTTAAAAGAAAATACCTGGTAAAGCTGAACTGGGAAAGCAGGCATGCATCCAGCCCAAACCCATGATCTTAGGATCAGCAGTACTGATGGGAAAAAAAGGAACAGTAGGGCAGTTCTATCCTGAATGACGTATAATATTCTTGTAAGTTTCACAATCTTTATAACCACAGGGAATGCATTATCAAGATGCAAGTATAACATGTTTATCTCTTTATCTGAAAGAAATTTTAACATGCATCAATTCACATATTTAATCAGAATGAACTCAAAAAGATTAGCATGGAAACAATTACAATGATATCGAAAGTTCTCATGAAATTAAATAGGGGAAATAATCAAGAAACGCATATTAAGCTTGAGAAGATTAAGAGTCAAAATTGACATATAAACACGAGAAGAATCTTCAACCGTCAAGCTGCTTCTAGGGCTACCTTTAGAGATATTTTGTGGTATGAATGAATTAATTACACCAAGCCACCCTGAATCAGAAAGAATAGTGGTCCCAAACATAAGCATACTTTTAAACGAACATCTTACTATCATGTGAATGAGGGAAGCAATGGGCAATGGCAACTTTTTGGTAAATTAATCAAAATCAATACTCAATACAGGAACTTGAAAACCATTAACTTAGATGTATGAGAAAAAAGGAACAGGCCAACTGTTCCTCGTAGGTACAGGGAAATCTCATAAAATACCAATGCAGTGACACCAATTCCAATAAAAAAAATGAGCATGAATCCATAATTTTTTAAGAGCACCATAACACTCCCTTGAGTCAGCCAAATGGCTGCTACTGTGCATATAGAGTAGCTATTAAAATTTGCAATGATCGTTATAATATCCATTGTCCAAAAGTACTTGCACAACCTTAATCGTGTTTATGAGGTATTATTTAAAAGCTTGGGGCAAATCCAACACAAACAAAAAACTTATCCTAGATGAATCAGTATATAGAAGGAGGCATTTCCAATTCCGAGATGCAATATTTATGATTAGCCAGACATTCTATACATGAGGTAGATAGAAGAAAAGGTCTACAGAAAGGTAGATGTAGCAGAGGATTTATACTTTGTAACTGTTGTACTCCTCTTTAACCTTCAACTGGACATCCTTCCGAGAGGCACGCACATTAATAGGACCCAGAAACATCCTCAAAAATCGCCCTGAAGGATTGGATATCAGCACAAGGGATGATGTTATGATATGAAAATTTAATTGTAAGATGCAAAACGCTCATAAGTTCATGAGAAGGATAAGAGGAAAAAACCTTGCGCATTGCCTGGAAGCAGCGAAGCAACATCACCATCTGCTACAATGCATCTCGCCCTCTGTAAATCTTCATCTAACTGTAAAAATGGAAAAAATAATAAAGATAATAACAATAAATAAAAGATCAGAAAGCATATAAGGAGCATTAAGAAATTGGGACCAAGCTGCTAAGAGATTATACATAGTTAAATTCTTCAAACCCTCTAATTTTCAATTATATCACAAAAACCTATCCTTGACTTCTACAACCTACAAAAACACACCAATCAAGTTATACTATTTAAAATATTTTATGAGATTCTATTTTATTTTATTTTGATCACATATGAAATTTTAATTTTATTGATCAAGCTGGCCTTACTCATTTTACTATAAGACTTCCCCTATATTTATGCTAGCTTGCACCCTCTTAAATCACCTCCCCTTGTCCCTGCTCCTCTTCTGTTCAACGATTCTAAAGGGCTTATGATTGAGATCCTCAATTGACCAGAAGGTAAATGATGAAGACCTATCACCACCTCCAGAAACCTGAGTTATAGTTTAATCCTTGGACAGGTTGCTACCAACATGTTAAGAGCAAAGCTACAAACTTTCAGTGAAATAGCTTGATCCACCCTACTTTTGACATAAGTATTGGATAAACCAGCATCTACCATAATACAGATCATGATTTAGTCTTCCATTATAGAGATTATAAGCTGTCCTGCCTCAATTTTCAAACCCAAAATAGGTTGCACCTCCTTCTCATGGAGCTGGAGAGCAGAGCAGGCTTGAAGGTATAAAACAGGGGATCTAAAGGCAAGGGATGTGTGCCTTTGAAAGGGTTAGGTATGGCTGCTGGTAAATGGTTGAAACCAAGCTTTAGAGCCTTTTTTTGGAAGACAATGAGAGTGGCATTGTAGGCAAGACCCATGGAGAAGTCCTGTGGAGGTCGTAAACCTTCCATCCTTATTAACACTTCATTTAGGAGCATTCTCATAGTTTTAGCAGGGAGTTAACCATTATCTAACTTGTGTTTAACAATTGTATCACAATTTTTTTCAAAAAATTGGAGTCATACATAGCATATCCAAATAAAGTAAGGGAGGTCAATATAAAATCAAGAAATTTGCAAGGAGAATGAAGTACTTTAGCCAAGCATATAATAAAATTATATATATAAAATATCCAAAAGAACTACCCATTTCAGAGTATCTGATGAAGTAGAATTGATATATAAAATTGAATTGTTTTCTTTTTTCCTATTATTAATGAAGTACAATTTTACCTTGTCTGCCACCTTCGGGTCCAAGAGCTTCTGAGAGAGGAGAGAATCAAGCAAGGAGCGCAAACGTTTAATAGAGTCCATAAGAGATAGAGCACGCTGGCGGAGAGATTGCTCTTCATGGATGTCTTTGAGATGTGAGTTGTGACCAAGTCCTGCAATTCTTTTGCATCTTCTATCGCTCTCCCTACTTCTTCCTCTATATTTTCTCTGCAATTGTCATGGATGCTGCAGCTTTTTGGGTCAATCCCAGGTCTATTCGTGTTTGCTTACTCGCGCACATGCACCAATTACAGTTCACAGATTTGCTTTTTTTACTTTACTAATCTAGACCTGCAGTTAGCAAACACAATAAGGTGCATATTAGAGCGGTTAATGGGATACTGCATCTGATGTTCCTGTAAAATTTGACAAGGAAGTCAGAACTCCTTAATCCTCATTCAATCTTTCCCACTACATCCATTAAGCGTCAAAATCTCCACAAATCAGATTACAAAAAGAAAAAAAACAAAGGCAACATGCAGAAGATATGCCCACAGAAGAACAAGAAGATTCGAGAAGTAGATCAAAATAAATGGCGTAGTACCATTTCCAACACATGAGATTGAAGATTTAAGAAAATTACCATCCAGGAATGAGGGCAGGTGGTGGAGCAACAGGAAGGAAGGTGGGTGAGACGATGGATTAAAGATTCCGTACCATAGTTGGCCAGCGGTGAAGAAGAAAATACAGAGTGAGAAAGCGAAAGGACCTTTTGTGAAGTGTTGCGTTTGGGTAGAGAAAAGAACAGCGATGGGTGGAGGGTGGACGGTGGTCCGGTGGAAGGGGTAACACAAATCTCATTTATTCATGTTTATATTTTATTTCTTTATAAACAAGTGGCTCATACGTCATGAGGTTCGTTTGATTATGTGCTTGACAACACAAGCCTTTTGAAAACGGCCGTTTCTAGGGCTGAGAACCACGTCTGAAGGCGCTTCCAACTTTCAGGCAAGCATACATGAGCAAGCGTATAACAATAGTGTGCTTTCCATCAAACCTAAACTAGCATGTACCAAACGTTAGTTATAATAGGAGAAGCTCATTTGACAGCGCAATCTCACATTCAGATAACGAAATTTTTAGAAGAGTTTCTGCACCAAAACCAAGATTAGGATTGGAGTAAAAAATTCAGACATTCAAGAGCTTTTGAACTAAATAAAAGATTAGATAAACTACACCCAAAAGTAAAATAAATTGAGTGTATAGCAAATTACTGACTGAACAAAACTTTTACAAACTTTAGTTTAATTAAATGTGCAACAAAAAATTTAATAAAATAAGTTTGTGATCTCAAATACTTCTGCTGCAAAGAGCTTGAAAAGCACTTAACAAAAAATTTAAATCAAGTTCTCGAAGAATTTTGAATATAAGAATAGAACACTTGAAATCAATTAAGCACAAACGTAAGAATCAATTTATCAAATCACAATTTGAGAATAAAATGAAAATCAATTTCCAAGACCAAGTACCAAGAGAGAGTAAGAAATGAGCTAGATGAAAAGAGAATAAGGAAAGAGATATTGTACAAATTGATTTATCTTAATTCAATACAACCACTTAGTGTATATCCAGTCCTTAAAACCCTTCTAAGATTTATCTTCTAAACTCACAGGCCTAAGTGGGTACTTGCCACCTCAGTATATCTATAAGTTTAGTTCAGACACTTGTAAACCATTACAATACCTTACTCAAAAATGGTGAGCACTTTATAAATCTCAACAATGAAATCTCTCTCTGCATGATGCCAAAGGAACACTTCCCTTGATTCTCTCAAATATAAAGATAAAGTGTTTTCCTAATGAATTCTCTCTTAAAGAGATTATAAGATAAAGTGGCTACTTTAAGCAGGCTATATGATTTAAGTGTGTATTGGAGTTATAAGCTTTTTGCTTCCATTATGAGCACAAACATGCATAGGTACATACTAATTCAAGCGTGTATTGGAAATGGGCTCTCTATGAGTTTAAAACATGCTTATGTGACTACTGAAACGAACTTGAATTGGCTTGTTCAAACTTAAGACTCTCTAATTCAAGTGTGACACATATGGATTAGACTATGACACACTTCAAGCTAATGTACTAGGATTAATTCAAGCATGTATAACATCTAACTCAAGTCAAGAATTAGATCACAATAGCATACCCTTGAGTAATGGCTAGTTCAAACGTGTGCTCAACCTTGAGACAAGTGAGTTCTAGTCAAACTTAAAACACTTGCTTTCACTGAAGGCTCAAACATGGTGTGTTCGAACCATGAATAGGCTAATAGTGTCTAGCAAGGCTTCTGGATGCTAATTCAATCGAGTATTATTTCTAACTCAAATTTGAATTGGTTCCAAACAAGTCATTTAATGTATTACGTATAGTCTATCCAGAACAAGCGTGAATTAGACTCTGAAGCTCAAATTCATACTAACTGTTTGATAATGAAGTTATAGGACTTATAAGCCTATGACATATTCTAATATGATGCATTCTTACCAGTCAAAATGTGATTTTGCTTTCAATAGTTCACATTATTGTCTAAGAGAAGAATAAACATAAATAAACCTATTAAGTCTAAGTTTCTCTTATTTTTCATGCTCTTGTGGTCTGGTCACTTAGATTTGAAAATATTGATCTACACAAGTAACCAAACTTTCTTCTCCTTTCTTGGGCCAACATTTAAGTTTGCCTTTAGAACATACTACATATGACACATCTCAAGTCATAGAGGAGAGGGAAACCATGGATTTGTGTTGAACTCTATACCTTTGGCTAGGTAAATCTTATCATTGGTGAGTTTTGGTGCAGTTTAGTCCACATGGACAAAGCCTATTTTGATCATAACATCTTATGGGTTTGGTAAGGGGTAATGAGAAGAAAATAGGGAAGATGTTTGCAGATATATCATGACATGATTGTATATTTGCTAGATCGTATGAAATATATGCTTTAATAATTCACTAATTTGATTGTTTATTTATTTATTTATTATTTACTATATCTACTTAACTACCTCTAAACATGCTTGCATGTTTATTAAATTATTATGTGGTTACTAGAACCTTTTGATATCATTATTACGGTTAAACATTTTTAGGTAAACATTTGAGCGAAGCAAAAGGAAGCTGGTTGAGGCTTGAGGTATTTTAATTGTAATGCCTCAAGTTGCGTTTTTGAATTGAAATTGTATAATAATAACAACATAGGATTTTCATGATGCATCTTATATCTTGAAAATGATAATTTTGAATTTTTGTTTGTTTAATTTACAACTGAGGATGCTAGTTGAATAGGCCGAAGGTCTTTAGGATATTGTATATGTAACATCAATTTTTCAAAACATTTATGCTTACAAGAATCAACCCAGTGCTCATTGGGACCCTACAATTAATATCATATTTGCATTCTTTAAGCATAATGATGGTGTTGTAAATTCTAAAATTTGTATACAAAATGATAAAATACTCAAACTCTTTTGGAAATTGAGAATGCATTAGGTTCACCTTATTTTACCATAGTTGCTTTAACTTCTCTCCTTTAGGACAGGACATTAGTGCAAGTTTTAATCGGTGAGAAAGCTAAAATTAAAGAGAGAAAAGACAAGAAATTGGATGCCTCCCAAGCCAAGAACAAATTTAAGGAAAGCATGGACAAATTGGAGATTATGGAGATGCTTCAAAGCTACCCACCTTAGTTCCCTTGATCAGTAAACCCAATTCCCTTGACCTTATACCTTTTTACCTCTTCATTTAAACTATTTAAACTATGCATACTTAGAGCATGATGATTGTTTGCCCATTATTATTTCATCTTTTTTTATCTAGTTTTAGACAAAGACAAACTTATTCATATTTTTAAAAAGTATATGAAAGCTATAGGTTGGTTCTTAGCAGACATTCTAGGGATAAACCCATCCATATGAACACATAGAATCACTCTTGAAAAGGGTGTAAAGCCAATGAGGAAACTTCAAAGGAGGCGTAATACATTGATATTTGAGGTAGTAAAAAGGGAAATTTGAAGCTCGTAAGTGTTGAAATCATTTACCTAAACTCGGATAGCTAATAGGTTAGAACCTTACATGTTTTGCCTAAAGAAAATGAGCTTGAACATATCATGAATGAAGAAGACATGTGGTTCTTATAGGAGTTGCAAATTCATAGCATGTGTGCATTGATTGCCAAAAATTAAACAATGAAATTGTTAGGGGCCATTTGTAACATCCTGATTTTTTTTATATAATAAAGAAATTTGTGGAATTTTAGGTTTTGAAAAAAAAAATGATAATAATAGGAATTTATATTATTTGAGGTTATTTAGAAATAATATTATGGTTAGGTATTTAATTATGAATTTAAAAATTTAAATTTAAAACCACATAAGCAATATTTAGTTTAGATATAATACATAAATAATTTTTTTTATATATGTGTTGAAAAAAACAAGAGAGAGAAGGTAGAAGGAACAAAACAAAAGGGTGTGGAAGGTTGTTGTTTCTAAGTCCCACCTTGATTAGATGAGGGAAAAGAAGAGGTGCCTTCATGTATAAAAAGGAGGGGTGTGTGCATTCGGAAGCATGCGAGGCTAAGATGCAATTTAGAGAAATTGCACCTTTGGGCCCAAAGGTTTGAATAATTAAATTCAAACCTATAGTTTTTTTTTAATATAATTTTGGGACTCACAATCCCATTTTATATTATTTTTCTCTCTTCCTCTCACGTTGCTCGGCGTTTTTCTCGCAAGGGGGATTATTTTTTTTTTCTTCAGGTATGTTCTAACTTTCCTATTTAGATTAGCATTTAAAAATTTATTTAATTACAAAATTAATTTTATAGTTATTTTCTAAATAATATTAGCTTCTAGTGATATGATTATTTTGTAGGATAGAGTAAATATTTGATTAGGATTTTTCTATAGGATAGTTAATCTGATGATATGATGGATTAAAAATATAGGTTAAAATTCTTAGGGATATAGTAAATATTATAGAATATTTTCTTGAGGTTGAAACTCATGTTTAAGAATTTTTGAGTTAAAATCTAGATCTATAGGTTGAATTTATGTGGAATCTGAGATGTAGGGATAAATCTATGATTATTAAATATTTATTTAAGTATGAATAGGTAGTTTTGAGGTTATAGAAAGGTGATTTGAGGCTTCAGGATAATTCTAAAATTTTTAATTTATTTTTTAGATGAATTTTTAGAATGTAGAAGGATGAAATTGCGATACTAGAATGAATTGAGATAAAAAAAATAGTTCATTAGGGTACAAGAATTTTAGAAAAGGATTTGGGAAGTTAATAAGGCATAAATCTTAAATTAGTGTTAATATGGACTATAGATTTAAGACTTTCTAACTCTTTAAATTAGAGTTATTTATTTTAATGTAAAATTAATATATAGTATTGTGAAATAATTATGTAGATTATATTGACAAAGATAGTGGTGAACAAGGAGGTTGTGAAGGGGAACTTGTTATTCAGACACAAGGTAACCATTATTAATGTGTTGTGATGAGTGTGTTTGTGAATGGTTTTGTGTTGTTTTTGTTGTTTGGAAAAATTATGAATTATTGAAAATAATTACTGTATATACTTGTTTGAAATTATTGCCAAGTGGGTTAAAAATTTATTTTTGTTTATCATGATGAGATATTATTGTTCGGATATATTCCTGTTTGGATATTTGAATGATGCATGACTTGTCAGGGTATTTTAATGTATGGTGTTAATGGGAATTTCTGTTCGGTTAATTATTACCACGTGGTAAGCCCTCATTGGACCCAATGAGTGGCGTGTC